GGGAAGACCCTCTATGAGGTGGATTGATTCAGTGACTGGGGTAATCGGGATGGGTGTGTCAGAGGCAATGCGATTGGCACAGGATAGAGCAGGGTTTGGGGCTATTGTAAATAGGGTCGCTATGAGTCGCAAACGACTCGATGGCACATAACAACAATAACAACAACAACAACAACATGTATTTGAGAGGTAGATAATGAATATGGATGACAGAAGAAGAATCTGTGCCTTTGAGTTGAGTTGGAGAAGAGTACTGAATATCCTATCGACTGCCTAAAGAACAAACAGTTATGTCTTGGAGAAAATGTGGCAAGAGTTCTCCTTGGAAGCAAGGATGATGAAGTTTTGACTCACATATTTTGGACATGTTGTAAAGAGAGTCTATTCTTTGGAAAGTGATAACATGCTTGGAAATATCAGCAAAAGAGACGAATACCCTCAATGAGATAGATTGACATAGTGATGGCAGCAAAAGGTTGACTGCTAGAGATTATGAGGGTGCCACAGTATTGGACAAGGTTCAGATCTGTTGTTAATAGGGTTGTTAAGAGTCATAGTAGACTTGGCACATAACAGCAGTAACAATTGGCAGAATACCAACTGAGGTGTTTTAGCAAGAAGATAAGGCTCTCGATGTGCTCATTACCCCATTAAACCAAAAAATTTAGAAGACAGCTACCTGGCCAATGGACTGGAAGAGATTGATATTTATTCCTGTTTTGTTTTTTTTAAATAAAGGTAATCCAACAGGATTCAGAAATTACTGAAAAATATCATTAATATCATAGACAAATAAAGTCTTGCTAAAGATTAATTTTTTAAAAAAAAAGCTAGAGCAGTACAGTGATAGGGAACTACCAGGAATTCAAGCAGGACTCAAAAGAGGCTATGGAATGAAGTATATCATTATGATGTCAAATAGATCTTGGCTTAAAACAGATACTACCAAAAATATGTTTACTTGTGTTTTATTGACTATGTAAAGGCAACCAACTGTATGAATCATAATAAATTATGGGTAAAATTGAGAAGAATGGGAATTCCAGAACACTTATGTGCCCATGTGAAACCTTTACATAGAGTAAGAAACAATTTTCTGAACAGAAGGGAACACTGGGTGGTTTAAAACCTTTCCTTTAAAGGTATACATCATGGTTGTTTCTTTTCTCTCTAACTATTCAATCTGTATGCTAAGCAAATAATTTGAGAAGCTGGGCTATTTGAAGAGGAATATGGTATTAAGATTGGAGGAAGACTCATCAACAATCTGCATTACATGGATGACACATCCTTGTTTGCAGAAAGTAAAGCACATTTAAAGCACTTACAGAAGAATATCAAAGAAGACAGCCTTCAACATAGAACCTATTCATAGGCAAAAAAGTAGTCCTTAAAACAGAACAAGGGGATAATGCATGGTTTAAAAACCAGAAAAAAGTGTACATAAGGATGTGTCCTTTCACTGTATTTCTTGTATCCAGTTGCACTGCTAACAAAAACTGAGACTCTGGTCGTTTGAATCTATCAGCAGCAACTAGGGAGAAAGATAGGCAATCTTCTCCCATGTGATTCACAGACTTGGAAAACTGCTATGATTTGCTGGTAAGGAGTATGAGTATTCAATTGTTGTGCCAAGCAACCAATGTGAGAAGTTGCACACGATGAAGAAAAATGTGATATCGCAATTGGAGGAAGAAACATTAACAACCTACATTATGCAGATGACACAATCTTCGTTGATAAAAGTAAAGAAGACAAATAATTTAATGAAGATGATCAGACTAGTCTTCAGTATAGACTACAACTCATCATAAATAAAACAGACCAATAGGAACCTAATAATAAATGGAGAAAAGACTGAAGTTGTCAACGTTTTAATTTTACTTGGATCCACAGTCAACAACCATAGAAGCAGCAGCCAGGGAATCAGAAGATTGCATCGGGAGGGCGACGCAGCGTGAGGGCGTCGCAGCGCGAGGGCGTCGCAGCGCGAGGGCGAGACCGCCAGCCGGGAGAACGCCGCCGCCAGACCGGGGAACACTGGGGGAACGCACCCCGCCGCCAGCCGGGGGAACGCACGCCGCCGCCCACCAGACCGGGAACGCCGCGAGAGGGAGGTGGAAGAGACCCGGGAAGAGCAGCAGCCAG